GGATTATTAATTCTGGAGCTTCAGATCACATGACCGGAGATACAACTGTCTTTGACTCTTATTCTCCATTTCAAAATCATTCAACAGTAAGGATAACTGACGGTACACTCTCAAGGGTGGTTGGTAGAGGTCCAATTTTTATTACACAAAATATCACTATAAATTCAATTCTCTGTGTCCCTAAATTTGACTGCAACTTGTTGTCCATCAGCAAATTGACAAAAGATTTAAATTGTGTTACTAAACTCTCTCCTAACTTGTGTGAATTTCAGATTTTGGGTTCGGAGAAGACGATTGCCAAAGTTGAAAAGTGTGTGGGACTCTATCTCTTTCAAACTGAAGATCCAAAGAATAAACCTACAGCAAAATCATGTGCAATAGTTCCTCCAAGCAATGAAAAATATATCCTACAGTGGCACTATAGGTTAGGCCACCCTAATGTTATGTACTTGAAATTTGTCAATTGGCCAAGCATACACGAAACACTTATCCTACCCAACTATATAAGCCATCCAAACCATTTTCCTTGGTTCATAGTGATGTATTAGGGCCATCAAGAGTCAACAACATTACAGGTGCTAGGTGGTTTGCCACCTTCGTTGATGACCACACAGAAACTACTTGGATATTCCTTGTGAAAGAAAAATCGAAAGTAAGAGGGATGTTTGAAAATTATCACAAAATGGTGGAAACTCAATTCTAAACCAAAATTCAAGTTTTAAGAATAGATAATGGTCGATATTATTTTCATTCAATATTAAATATCTATATACAAAAACATGGAATTTTGCATCAAAGTTCATGTGTGGACACCTCTCAACAAAATGGGGTGGCAGAGAGAAAGAATCGTCACATCTTGGAGGTGACAAGGTCCCTCGTGATGGCTACAAATGTTCCAAAGCAAATTTGGGGAGAAACTATACTATATGCAACCTATCTCATGAATATAATGCTTTTCTCTATCCTTAAATTCAATTATACACACTCAGCCCTAAAAAATCATACCCAAAAGTATTCGAATGTTCAGCTTTTGTTTACAACCACAGCCAAAATTGCTGCAAACTTGATCTCAAATCCATCAAATGTACTTTTTTTGGGTACTCAAGTAACAAAAAGGGGTATAAGTGTTATTCTTCCTCAAACCAAAAATTCTATCATTCAATGGAAGAAAGATTCTTTGAGAATCAACCCTATTATCCAAAAATTTCAACTCAGGGGGAGACAAGAACTTGAACTTAACAAGATTTAATAGACTTCAAATTTTTGGGCCTAGAGTCAGGTCCATTGTTTCATCCCACACCCACTAACCACAACGAACCTGAACCAACACCAGTAGACTCAATAGACCAAGAAGAAAACCATTCGGCCTCTAAAAAGAATCCTGACCCTAGTCTTGCACAAGAAGGTTGGAATGTTTATACTAGAAAAAAGGGAAGAAATCAGAAAGTAATAGAATCAAGCATAATACAAATGTTAAGTAATGAATCCAAACCGGACCCAGAACCGAAAATTCCCTTGGGTAATTCTACTCCTATATCTTAACCTATTTGTACTGATGATACTAATCTTGATATCCTCGTTACTTTAACAAAAGGGGTGAAAAAATGTACTCATCATCCCATAAAGAGATATGTGTTCTATGGAAAGTTAGCTGAAGGATATAAATCCTTTGTAGCAACTTTGGACGGCAACTATATTCCTAGAAATATTCAGGAAGCCTTCCAATAACCTGAATGGACAGCAATTGTAAACGATGAGATGGAAGCCTTGTCTAAAAATAGAACTTGGGAGATCACTACTTTGCCAAAAGGAAAGAAATCAGTAAGGTGCAAGTGGATTTTTTCTATCAAATATAACGATGGTGGGAGCATAAATAGGTACAAGGCCAAGTTGGTGGCCAATGGGTTCACTCAATCATATGGAGTGGACTACGAGGAAACATATGCTCCGGTGATCAAACTCAATTCAATCTGTGTTATACTCTTCTTGGCTGCAAATTTAGACGGGCCACTACACCAATTAGACATAAAAAAAAAAAAATACCTTCCTAAATGATGAGTTAGAGGAACAAGTGTTCATGCAAATTCCTCCGGGTCTTGAAACATCCAAAACCACGAACAAGGCTTGCAGACTACGAAAGTCATTGTGCGGACTAAAGCATTCTCCTAGTTCGATAGGATGATACGAGTTATTAAAGAAGATGGATTTACTCAATGTCAATCAGACCATACAATATTTGTCAAACATTCGCTAGATGGAAAGGTAACCTTATTTATTGCATATGCTGATGACATTGTCATTATCGGAGATGATCATAAGCAAGTGGAACATCTTAAAAAACTCTTGGCAAGAGAATTTGAGGTCAAAAACTTGGGACAGTATTTTCTAAGAATGGAGGTTGCTCGAACAAAAGATGGGATTTACATGTCTCAAAGGAAGTATACATTGGACTTACCCCAAGAAACAGAGGTGCTTGGATGTAAGGCAGCAAATACTCCTATGGAATCAGCAAAACAGAAAGGACTAATTATTTCCTTTTATGCAGTGTTGTAAATATTTAGGAGTAGGTTGATTGTATAGAATATTGTTGTAAATCTATTTAAACCAGCATTTGTAATAAGAATTATCCTTTTATGCAGTGTCTCTTAATTTTATTCGAAAGTCATCTTGCCAAAAGCTATCACAGTGTCGTTCATAGCACTTATTCCAAAAACGTGGAACCCTCAAAGTTTGAATGAGTTTCGACCAATCTACCAAGTGGGGAGTGTTTATAGAATCCTTATAAAAATGATAGATGGTAGACTCAAGAAGGTGGTAGGCTCTTTGCTGTCCCCTTTGCCAATTAGCTTTTATTTTGGGAAGGCAGATATTAGATAGGGTTTTTGATGATTAACGAGGTTGTGGATTTGGCCAAGAGAAAGAAGAAGCAATATCTAATGTTTAAGGTCGGTTTAGAAAAGGCGTATGATTGTGTGGCGTGAAAATACTTAAGAGATGTCATGTGTAGAAGGGGCTTTGGTCGAAGGTGGATGAGATTGATATATGCCTACATTTTCTCAAGTTTATGTCGGTTTTAGTTAATGGAATGAAGTCTTACAAATGACTTTCAAGTGGATAGAGGTATTCGTCAAAGGGACCATTTGTTTTCTTTCTTGTTTTTGCTTGTGGTTGATGGGATTGCGGGCTTATTATAGAATCCTATGCAGTCAAGAGATTTTCAACCTTTCAAAGTATCAAACTATATTTATTTCAATATGATTCGTAGACGACACAATAATATTGGGGAAAGGATTGTGGCAAAATATTTGGACAATCAAAGCAGTCCTGATAAGCTTTAAATTGGCAATGGGACTATGCGTAAATTTTAACAAAAGGAAAGTCATAAGACTCAATCTCAGGGACAGTTTTTTGGAGGTTGCTTCCACATTCTTGGCTTTTAGTACTACTTCTATCCCTTTTCAGTTTCTTGGCATACCAATAGGAACTAATCTAAGGAGAATGATCAGGGGTGAGTCTGTCTTATGACCTATCGTATATTTATTTTTGGGTTTGAACCTAGCCTTTTCGAATGGATGTTTAACCTATTAGCCTACATAAAAGTATAATATATTTGAACGTTTGTGTAAATCCCTGTTAGTTGGCCTTGTCTATTCTCACCCCTACTTTGAGGTAAATGTTAGATAAGCTTAAGAGTCGACTCTCTTCTTAGAAAGGAAGACATCTCTTAATAGGAGGTCGTGTGGTTTTTATTAAACTCTATCTTAATTCAATTCCAATTTATATCTTCTTTATTTTTATAAGTCTCCCAAGAATGTTATTCAAGAGAAAGTGAGGATTCAACGGGATTTTTGTGGGGTGGAAATTCTGAGAAAAGGAAAGTTGCTTGGATTAGCTGGCTGAATGTGTAAATGGAAGAATCAAGGAGGGCAACTTTCTTTCACAATTTAATATCAATTGATATATGTCATGCTCTTAACACCCCCTTATTACCTGCTATTTCACACCTCAAACGATCTCATACAAAATAACACCTAAAACAACAATGGATCAACAACACTTTCAGCATGTCTTGTTCTTCCTACTAACTCTAGCAGCTACTAACTAACTGCCCTAAGGCAATCGACTATGCTTGGTCCAACAATGCCGGAACCAGCACAGGCGCTATCATCCGTTTTGACATAGAAATAGGTGTAGAATAAGTCAGGCAAACACTCAACTCAGCCACGGAATTCATACAGAAACTCTTTCAACATAACAATAACGCCGATCGAAAATATTGACAGAATTTGGTTTGCTAGCAACAATGTAATTCATATTGCAGCAGGCTACATTGAGAGGTACTGTGGAAAACTAAAAAAAGAGGTCATTGGGTTGATATATCATGAAATGGCTCATACGTTGCAATGGGACGGAAACGGCGAGGCTCCTTCGGGACTCACAGAATGCATTGCGGATTTTCTGAGGATGAAGGCTGGATATGCTTTAGATCGATGGAATCCTGCAGGTCTAGGTAATCGGGACCAAGGATATGAGATCACGGCTCATTTTTTACACCACTGTGAAAATATCAAAAACAGGTTTTTGGCGGATTTGAACGCGAAACTGAAGACAGGTTATAGCGAGTACCAACACAACCATTATCCCCAACCAGTAAATATTTAAATCCGACAGTGTCAAAATTACAATACTGAATCACTAGAACTAGCATCTTAAGCATCATAATCGATAATTGAGTTTCATAATTAAAAGAACTACGAATGGAACCTTAAATAAATCGTACAGAATTCCGAAACAACACACTTCACGTAGAGAGTGTTACGCTACCAGTACAATTTCCCAGCCTCCCATGGAGAAGAAACTAGAAAATTTATTCACTATTCATAGCTTGACAGGGAAACAAATAACAAGTAGTACTCATTGACCAAAATCTAAGAATGGAATACCGGAAAGCAGATAAAAGGTGATGGTAAAGGTGTTGATATAGCAAAACCTTGTCACGTCTAAAATTGCTGAATTGCGGAGACAATTTCAGAAATGCTCTTGAATTTTCTTCTTTCTTTGAGAATCATCTTAGCTAAATTAAGTGCCCGCCGTTCACAGGTTGCTCGTTTACCAGCATCAGCAATAGATTCAAGATCCTCAATGTGTGCCACGCCAACAATTCTCCTGTGTATCAAATAATTGAAATGGAAGAGTTAGTCATGCCACCTTTCTGTTCTTTTACGAACATGAGCTCTGGGCACAAATACTCTCGAGCAAGACAAGCTTATTTCAAAATCAATTATATGAAAACAAAAATCACGAGACACTATCATTTTTTCTACAATGGAAACTACTCCATTCTTTCTCTATAACTAATGATTGTATTTTTAACCCATAAATCATATACAGACAGAAATTCTATAGTAGTATAGTGGAAATGATTACCACAACCTCATCCTATGGAAACAAGATAATCAAGGGGAGGTGTTGTCACCTTATCATTTTGGCAGCACCAAATCCAAGACTATCATGAAACAAATCAGTCATGTATTTCTTCTGTACAAGCAGCTGAACCTCGGGATTGTTGTAGATTGCTGGAAGATAAGCCTCGCCAGCAGCATTTCTATGCTTTTCCCAAAGTCCAGTGAATTTATCGTGGAAAAGATTCCAAGTGTCTTCAATTGACTTAAGAATCCATTCCTTATATCCCTGCATAACAATGTGTGTTTTAGACAAGAAATAATACTCTTTCCCCCCTTAAAATCCATTTTCTTCAACAATTATTAAGAAACACCGTTTAAATGTCAAATGCCGTATTTCATTCACCTTCCAATGCAATGCAGAAATTCAACTTAAAGAAAGGAAAAGAAAAAAAAATACTTTTCGGTCGTTTGCTTGATCAGCATGTCCGTCTTGAGAAAAGTAAGCCAGTATTAAGTTTCCTAGGTATGCTCCAATGTCAAAACCCATTGGTCCATAAAACGCAAATTCCGGATCAATAACTTGAGTTGATTCAGGAGTAACCATTACTGAACCAGTGTGTAGATCTCCATGTATTAGTGCCTGAGCCCTCTCACAGAACCTAAATGAACAAAAATTCTCATCAACAAAAACCCCAACAACAAAACTACTGCAGTAAAAGCAGAAAAAGGGAGTCATGACACTTTGATTTCAGCTCAGCAACTTCAAGCTTCAGTAGATTGTCTTCCCGAACAGCCTCGGCATCCCGATCAAGATCAGGAGAAGTCCAGCGATTATATTCAGAAACTTTATATGGGTCAGAAAAAACAACCTGCTCAGTGAGCCTGCATAACTCCACATTCCCGCAAAATTCGGCAACTGCATGAAGTGAGCTTGTATTAAGACTAATGTCAACATGCCGTAAGGAAGTATCAATATATAATCATGTGTTCCAAAATTTTACCTATATACCCCCAAGAAGAAGATATCATTTACTCCATCCATTTTCAAACTAAAAGCTTAATAAAGACTCATATTTATGATTTGTTTTGAATTGGTTTATTTGAACTTATATACTAGCATAAACATGCGTGAGACTGTTTGGCAGAACTTAAAAAACAATTTATGACATGAAATTTCAGGATTGGTTATGAAAACAACTTATAACTTATATTGGAACAGTATGACTTTATTTTATCTTTAGGTATAGAAATGTTTTATGTATAAGCTACGAAGCACGGACACTCTAGAAGTAGCTGTGTCGCAATGTATGACACTCGTACAACACGTGCCGGAAAAGTCAGACAAGCGTCAAAAAAGTCGGACAAGTGTCTCCAAAAAAATGTTTGTTTATTTACTTTGACATATGAAACTTGTCCAATGCCCGTATGACACGCATATCGCAAGTGTTTCAAAAAAATTATTTTTTTTCTTTGCTTCAACATACTTTTATGTATTTTTTGGACAAATCTCACACATATAAAGGGGGTTAAATATGTATTGAAGCAATGTTATTAATAAAGAACTAAAACATTAATTTTGATTAGAATTTTTTAAAATCTTTTAATATTAGATTGATAGATGAAGCTCGTATACTATCATATATGCATTGGTGTCAATGTCCTATGTTTTTTATATTATCACTGCCGGAGTGTCCGTGTTGCATCCTAGTATCTGATCGGAGTTCATGCTTCATAGTATATAAGCAGTGTACTTAAGTTGGTTATCTAACAACGCGGAAGCACGGTGCACAACCCAGATAAGTGACGAACACATTGGGGAACCAATGTTTCCAATACAAAATCAAATTTAAATAACCACTATCAACTCAATTCAATGTTGTCCATGGCGGAAGGGCAAAATCCCGCCATACCGGCCGCTTTGCGACGCAATTATTGCGGATTATGACAGAAAATCCGCAATAGCGGCCAATATTTACCATTGCGGCGAGCCCAAAAACCGCCATGTAAATCCCGCCATGGCGGGGCAATTTGATAACACTGGCTCCATTAAATCTAAGGCAAAGCATCACATAATCAAGAATGTGTCCTACAAAATCGGCTTATAGGACGAGAAATTACCGCTATCAGCTCAAGTGAATGTTAGGCAAAGTATGACATAAAAAAAAGAGTTAAGAATGTGTGGTTGAGTATAACTCAACTCTACAAAACCAGCTTGAGGATTGTCTCCACTTAAAAGCACATGGTCCGGCAATGTGAGACTCTTAACAAAACTAGGGTACTTTCAAAGAGTGAACAAGACTTGAAAAGGGAAAATTCATACCGTCCCGTTTATGCTCAGTAGTAGAACGGAAAAGCAGAGAAGTAAAGAAGAGCGTATTTGCCATGAAATCAGAAATATGTTGAGCCAAGAAAGGGTACTCAACCCCAGCAATCAACCCTTTTCTGAGAATTATATGTGGTGGCTCCAAATAACGCATCCCAATCAAAGACATAACCCGATCAAAATGATAAACTTCCGGTACATGTTCCGGACACAGTTTCCCCTCCTCTTTCAACGCCAACGACTCAAAATAAGCTCTCTCTTTCGTCATTGGCCATGATTCTCCAATGCAACGAACATACGGCAGAGCCTAAAACAATAAAACCGATTATTAATTGGAAAATAAAGATCTATAAAATACAGACAGACACCTGACACGACACTGACACACTGACGCTCGTATTAATAATAATTTTAAAAAATTAATTAATTAAACGTAATGACGAGTGTAAGACCTGTTTGACGACGAGAGAACCAGAGGAGTTGGAAATAATGAAGACGAAATTGAGGTTGCCATCGCCGACTTCTTTAACGGTTATATCGGAGAAATTGTTGGCGAGTTTGGATGAAAGTGCGGGGATGGATTTTATGTATTCGATGAGTGTGTTCTCGTTCAACGGTTGGAACTCAGAGAAATTTGCCATAGTAGCGTGGTTTGAATGCAAAAGTGAAAATCAAAATTAGAATATTTATTTGACTTTATATTGCAAGAGGTTTTAACTAGTGTAGTGAATGATGATTGAATTTGATGGGAGTGAGTGAATAGATAGAGTTCAATGAATCTAGTCATAATATTCTAATTTTGATTTTTCAAAAACATTGTACAACATTTTTACTTTTTGCCAAAAGAGTGCTTAGATTTTTTCTGAATATGTCTTTTTTATAATTCATTTTTTATATTTATTAAATAATTCATTTAGATGGTGGTATGTACATTCATTATAAGTTATTAATATTATATATTTGTGAAATTATTTAATATTATTTTTTTATATTAATTTTGGTATAGAATAAAAATAAATTTTTAAATAAATTTTATTTAAAGGATGTTGATATCCAATTAAATTATAAAATATTAAAAATTTAACGTCTCTTATAAAAGGACTATGTTATTCTACATTGTTTAATTTATGTTATTTTTATATTAATTTATTATAGAAATAAAATTATATTATAAATGATTTTTATTTAAAGGATATTTAAATTTTAAAATACTAAAAAAATTTACCAAGCATTGTAACATGGTCAAGGAATGCAATGGCAAATAATTAAGATTAATAATATGATGCTTATTGTATCAAAAATACAAATTTTAAATTAATGTAGTTAATTTTATATTAAAAAAAGTTATTAAAAATATATAAATTATTCTTCATTAGTGATTGAATTAAAAATTTAAACAATTGGAAGATGATAGAAGAATAAATAATAAGAAAGGGTGATGTAATAAATAATAAGGAAAGAGTGATGTGAAAGTGATTACTCTCTCCCGCTCGATTTTATATTATAAGTAAATTTTAGTTATTTAGATTCATTGAATAAATAATTGTGGATTTGGATCAAACTCTAATGTTAGTAAAGGTAGTTTTATGGTTCGACAGAAGTTGTGCATGTTGTAGTCGAAGTCTGTTAAACCATGTTGTCGAAATATATTTGTTTTGTGTTTATGTTAGCATGTCGAATTAGGTTTTCCTTGTAAGCTCAATTGTTAAGTTAGTTGTAACCTAAGTTAGCTAAATAGTCTTTAAATAGACTAGTTCTCTCGTGTTGTTGAAAGAGGTTAATTGTTGTTATTCACTTGTAATCTTTAAACCCTTAACGAAAAAGTGAATAGTAAAATAGTATTAACCAATTCTTATTCTTTTTCTTCCTTCTTATCTCTCTTTCGTAAAATCTAATATGGTTTCTTGTGTTTATTCAAGAAACTCAATCTTTATCTCATAACTTTATTTTTTTATTGACGACGTCGTTTCACAACAAACTGGTGCGGTGAGCATGGAGGAGAAGATATCGTCAATAAAGTATGAGATTGAGAAATTCACTGGTATGAATGATTTCAGTTTGTGGCGCTTGAAGATGCAACTCATTATTGTTCAACAGGGTTTGATAGAAGCATTGAAAGGATCGGAGAAGATGGACGCTACCCTATCGGGGAAGGACAAGACAATGATGATCAGAAAAGCCCGCAGTGTCATTGTATGGAGCCTTGGTGATAAGGTTCTCTGGCAAGTTTCAAAGGAGAAAATTGTAGTTGGCGTGTGGACGAAACTTAAATGTTTGTACATAACGAAATCATTGGTTAATTGTCTCTACTTGAAGCAAACTTTATATTTATTCAATATGAGTGAAGACAAAGTCTTGGCTGAGCAGTTGGATATGTTTAACAAGTTGATTCTTGATCTTGAGAATATTAATATCAAGATTGATGATGAAGATCAAGCGTTGTTATTGTTGTTGCTATGTTCTTTACCTAAGTTTCACGCTCATTCCAAAGAAACTCTCTTGTATGGAAGAGATTCGTTGACCTCTGAAGATGTTCAATTTGCCTAGTACTCTAAGGATTTAAACGAATGAAAGGAGCAAAAATCATCTTCTGTTGGTGAAGGTTTGACTGTTAAAGGGAAATTCTTGAAGAAAGATTGTAGGTTTAAGAAGAAGAAGAGTAAAGTTCTACAAAATTCTTATGATGGTAATTCTCCTAATATTAAGTGTTATCATTGTAAGAATGAGGGTCATACAAGAAAAGTATGACCTGGTCGATTGAACAATCATGGCAGAAAGGATAGTGGTAATGCAGTCTTTGTGCAAGATGATTATGAATCATCTAATGTCTTGGTGGTTTCAAGCAGGGACTCTATCAAGGTGTGGATTATGGATTCAGGGTGTACTTGGAAATGACTCTAAACAAATACGTGTTTGAGGAATTGTGTGATCAAGATGGTGGATCAATGTTGCTGGGAAACAACAAAGCTTGTAAAATTGCATGTATTGGATTTGTGAGATTCAAGCTCCATGATGAGTCAAAAAGACTATTGACTAATGTTAGGTATGTACCTGATCTTAAGAGGAATTTGATTTCTGTTGGTGAATTTGACAAGAAAGGATATGTTTTCAAAGGAGAGCAAAATATCACAAAGGTAATGAAAAGTTTGAAGGAAGTCTTGAGAGGCACGAAAAAATAAGGTTTGTATACCCTTGAGGCTGAGATTGTAAGTGGTTCAATAGATGTGGCATCATAAAACCTGTGTTGAATATTGATCCATGGCATAAGAGACTTAGTCTTGTCAGTGAAAGAGGCTTGATCTAATTGTCAAAACAAAATCTGTTGTGTGGTGACAAGGTCGAAAAATTGGAGTTTTGTGAACCTTGTGCATTTGATAAATCCTGTAGAATGAAGTTTAACAAAGGTAAAGAAAGAACACATGGATCCCTTGATTATATTTATGTTAATCTTTGGCGGTCTGCAAGGCATCCTTCACACTCAGGTGCAAAGTATTTCCTATCCATAATTGATGATTATTCTAGAAAGTTATGAGTATTCATCCATAAGACTAAGGATGAAACTTTTGAAATTTTCAAAAGTTGTACCTGATCTGAACTGAATTTATTGTTTTTCTTTGGTCTTTCAACTAAAAAACGTTACAAAATAGTCCCTTAAAAACCATTTCATTATCTGAAGTGGTCCATGTCGTTTGTTTTTCTGAAAAATCTAACTAGACTCTTTTTTCTCTCTCTTTTTTCTTTCTAACTGTTTATCTAAGTTCTGGAGTTTTAACAAAAGGAGAAGAAAATAAACCATATCTAGCTGCCACCCCTTATTTCTTTCTTCTCCATATTTTTATTTCTCTCCCCCCTCCCCCCCTCTTGCTCTCTTCTCCTTTTTACACCACCACAATCATTCATCTCTCTCTTCATTTTCACTTCTAAACATAAGACCTAGCTCTTTCTTCAATATCACTGCATGTGACCAAAAGAAGAATACCCCCACTTTCATGGTCAGATCTAAACCAACATGAACCATTATTTGAAAAACCACCACTCTGTATAAACTCTATGTCATCTCCTTTATAAAAACCATAAAAAAAATCAAGATCTGAGATAATGGTCGAAAAACACTGTGTCATAAATCACACCATTGTGCCGGAAAAACTGTAACGAGGTCGCCATTGTTTGTAACGTTACTAGTACTTCACCGTCTCCACAAAAGATAAATTGGTAATGCTACTAGAGATCTATTTCGTACTTTTCATCGTTATCGCATACAAAAAGATATAGGTACTTTCTATTTTCATCTTTAATCATTCCTTACTTTTTCCATTGATTAAATTCATTAATTGCTTACAGTGAGATGTTGTCAAGGCAGTAACCAAATATGTAGCTTATGCTACAATTGAGAATTTAGTGGTGAGGACAATCATGTTGTGATGTAAATAATCAAATATTTTCCATTATTTCTTCTTTTCTTCAACTTGAGCATACCGCCTTTTTGTGAAGATTTAAGTCATCAACTACACCAAGTAACATATTTTTCTACAATTTACAGTGATTCAGGTTTGGTTGGAAATGAACGTGTTGGGGAAACTTTTTTACTAGGAAGCATTAAACATTGTGAGACTTTTCTTCTTGAGCAACACCTCTGTGAGAGACACACCACGTACTCACCCAAAATTTTAAGGTGATAGGTGTGTGAGTTTTCCCACTTATAAATGCTCAAGTCACCATATTCATATCTAATATGAGACTATTATCCATACTACTCACACTTGTTATACTTAACATTCCCTCTAAAGTGTGAGTTTATCCACAATGATTCCATAATGCTCCCGCTCTGATACCACTGTTGGGGAATTTTTTTTACTAGGGAGCATTGGACATATTGGGACTTTCCTTCTTGAGCAACATCTTTGTGAGAGATACACCACGTACTCACCCAAAATCTCAAGGTGATAGGTGTGTGGGTTCTCTCACTTATAAATGCTCAAGTCACCATATTCATATCCAATGTGGGACTATTATCCACACTACTCACACATGTTATACTTAACAAAACGAACCACTCTAATATGTATTGGTTCGATGAACATCAAAGAACTTCGTGAAGGTGTTGGATAGAACAACATCCATATTTTTACATACAAAGAATTGAGGCTTTCGACTAAGCAATTTCGTTTTAGCAAAAGACATATTTCGTGTTGTATATAAAGGTTTCATTAATGATAATGTAAGAGCAAGTTATTATTCCACTGGAGTTGCAAAGGTTTTCAAGGGGATAGGAAATGACTTGTAAGTTTCACATATTTTAGTTTTGAATGAAATTAAAGTTATGTACTTAACAAGTGGGTAAGTTGGTACTTTGTATCTAAAAGGCTTAATTGATAAATAAATAAACTTTATGGGTTATGTCCCATGATTGTACAATGTAAATTTAGTGAATAATATTTGAGCATTGATTTTCCATTCGATTTAAAGTGTTCAAGCTTCTGTTAGAAACATTGTTGCTATTTTTTTAATACATATGTTGACTCAACTTATTAACTAACGCCTGCCTGTTACGCCATGTAGTCAAAGTTAATGTTTTTTTCTTCAGGATTTTTAACGACAACGACCTTTTTGTGTAACATAGCAATTCATAAGAGCTAACTAA